CAACATCTACAACTCCATAAGCCTTATAGGTAAGGCTTGGGAGGGAGTGACTTCCAGGACTTTGAACTCTGCTTGGAGACAATTGTGGCCAGATTGTGTCCAAAAGAGGGATTTTGAAGGGTTTGAGGCTGACCCTGACCCAACTCACCCTCTGCCTGTTGTGGACTCTACTGTGGCATTGGGGAACACCCTGGGGTTGGAGGTGAGTGGTGAGGATGTGGAAGAGTTGGTGGAGGACCACAGGGAAGAGCTAACCACTGAAGAGCTGCAAGAGCTTCATCTGGAGCAGTATCAGATCAAAGCTGAGGAACTTGCTTCAGAAGAGGAGGAAGAGGGAGTGGATGAGGTGCCTTCTTCAAAGATTAAGGAGATTTGTGCCAAGTAGAATGATGTCCAAATGTTTGTGCAGAAGTACCACCCTGAGCAAGATGAAACAAGCCATCTATGCAACAAGTTCAGTGACAGAACCATGTCCCATTTTAGGGAAATGTTAAAGAGGTGCCAGAAACAGAGGACTGTGGACAGTTATTTTGTGAGACAAGGGTCCAGTGACTCTCAAGCTGGTCCTAGTGGCATTAAAAGACAGAGTAGGGAAGTAACCCCAGAGAGGGCTTTACCTGAAGTCGTCATGGAGGGGGATTCTCCTTCCAAGCACTAACCCCAACTCCCTCTCTCCTCCTCCCTATCTTCCAGATGCCATCACCAATCTTCAATAAAGGTAAGTAAAAATGTTATTTTATATGTATTACTATACATAATTAAAAACTATAATATGTGTTGTATGTAAAACTGTAATTAATCTCTATAAAATGTATTTTTTGTGTGAATATTTTTTGGGTTTCTGGAACGGATTAATTGTATTTCCATTATTTCTTATGGGAAATATTGCTTCGAATTTCAGACTTTTCAAATTTAGAACTAGCTCCTGGAACGGATTAAGTTTGATTTTTGAGGTTCCACTTTATATTTATTTATCCTCTTTTTCATAAAATATGTACGTATTACTTATTACCAATCCTCTTTCTACACATAGCTCAATTAAAGGCTCCCCATTTTCATTTACCCCTGGCACCCCAAATTTACCTACTACTCCCTCCACAATATTTTTACCCACTTTAGCATTGAAATCCCCAACCGCAAGTACTCTCACACTTGGTTCAAAACTCCCCATGCACTCACTCAACATTTCCCAAAATCTCTCTCTCTCCTCTACAATTCTCTCTTCTCCAGGTGCATAAATGCTTACTATAACCCACTTTTCACATCCAACCCTTATTTTACTCCACATAATCCTTGAATTAATACATTTATATTCCCTCTTTTCCTGCCATAACTTATCCTTCAACATTATTGCTACTCTTCTATAGCTCTAACTCTATTTGAAACCCCTGACCTAATCCCATTTATTTCTCCCTACTGAAACTCTCCCACACCCTTCAGCTTTGTTTCACTTAAAGCCAGGACATCCAGCTTCTTCTCATTCATAGCATCCACAATCATCTCTTTCTTATCATTTGCACAATGTGAGAGAAGAGTGGGTGTAAGTGGGGTAAGGGTTGTTCAGGCAACCAGGAACCATTAGTGAGTTACGTCGCGCAGCCCCCCCCCCTCTAGCGGGCTGGGGCGAAACTCTAGTCCCTGGCGTCTGATATGTTTCAACTTCTACTCCTGGTAGTACTGACCTTACCTGGTGTGGGCTGAAGTTTGGAGAGTCACTTCACCTCCACTCTTCTCCTGATCAGGTAAGGTGGTCTACCAGGAGCATTACTGTTCGTTTGCTGGTTACCAGTAATGATTTTGGCATTTACCACTCCTTTTCATTCTTAAATGTTATATTATCATAACCATTGGCAACCAGTTTATTTTTTCTTATTACCAGCTCTGTTCCTGGCGTGGTCATCCAGGATAGACGCCAGATAAAGGAGCAAGACATTTGTTAATTGGACTTATTAACATTATTCAACTACTACTGGCCCTTATCTATTCTACTTGTGGTGCTCCAACCAAGTGGTAGAGGAAATTCCAAAACATCGGACTGTTACCATCCACCCAGGATAACCTACATCTTTAACATCAGAGATCTGTCCAGGGCCTTACCTACTCCTGCCCAACTACAGCACCAGAGCCAGAGGCCATTTTTATTATATTTAAATTTTAAGTAAAATCCTCAAAAGTCATTATTCTTATTTTTCCTAGAGTGGTTTCTTTATTTATATATTTTTCCATTAGTTTTTTGTTCAGATGGAAGGCGTTCCACTGACACGCAACATCCACGCACATTCAAACATCCCACTTCGATGATTTTCTTCTTTTTCTTTTTAGTAGGCTATACAGTAAAAGGAGTTACTATCCCATTGCTCCCAGAATTTTACTTGACTTTTACAACACACATGGCTTACAGAGGAAAGATTCTTATTCCACTTCCCCATGGATAAAGTAAAAGGAAAAGCAATAAGAACAAGAACTATTAAGATAAAATCAAATGTGTATGTATATATAAAATCAGATGTGTATGTATATATATAAATGTGTACATGTATGTGCCATATGACCTAAGTGTAAGTAGAAGTAACAAGAAGTACCTGAAATCTTGCATGTTTATGAGACAGAAAAAAGACACCAGCAAACCTACCATCATGTAAAACAATTACAGGCTTTTGTTTTACACTCACTTGGCACAACGGTAATACCTCCCAAGGTGGTTGCTGTCTACCAACCTACTACCTATGTTGGCTGTCTCCCACCAAGGCAGGGTGACCCAAAAAAAGAGAAAAAACTTTCATCATCATTCAACACTCTCACCATCACTCGTACATAAATCACTGTCTTTGCAGAGGCGCCCAGAGATGACAGTTCAATGGATAACGTTTTTTGTCTCCACAGATACCTCAACGCACCACTCACCTTTTTTCCTTTATCAGTTTTATGGTTTACCTCATCCTTCATAAACCTGTCTGTTGACAGATCAACTCCCAAATATCTGAAAACATTCACTTCTTCCATACTCCCTCCCTCCATTGTGATATATATACAGTACAATGGACCCCCGCCTTACAATGGCATCGTGTTACGTTAAATCGGCCATACAATACATTTTAACGCAAAAATTTTGCCTTGCCTCATGAGATTCATCCAGGACGCGTCCCATGTGTGGCCTGAGCGTGCTTCAGTTGCCCTGTGGGTGCCAGTGTTTACAAGCAAGCCAGTGCAGTCGCATCCACACATACATTCGGTACATTTCATATTATCACAGTGTTTTTAGTGATCGTAGCTGCAAAATAAGTCACCATGGGCCCCAAGAAAGCTTCTAGTGCCAACCCTGTGGTAAAAAGGGTGAAAATTACTATGGAAATGAAGAAAGAGATACGTAATTGATAAGTATGAAAGTGGAGTGCGTGTCTCGGAGCGAGCCAGGTTGTGTACCAAACCCCAATCAACCATCGCTACTATTGTGGCCAACAAAACGGCAATCAAGGAAGCTGTTCTTGCAAAAGTTGCAAGTTTGTTTTCGAAACAGAGATCACAACTGCTCGAAGATGTTGAGAGACTGTTATTGGTGTGGATAAACAAAAAAACAGATAGCAGGAGATACCATCTCTCAAGTGATCATATGTAAAAAGGGTGAGAAATACGTACTATCGTACCATGGTCAGCTGCTGCTGCACCACGTTCAGCTGTTGCTGCACCACGGTCAGCTGTTGCTGCACCACCATCAGCTGTTGCTGTACCACAGTCAGCTGTTGCTGCACCACAGTCAGCTGTTGCTGCTGCTGCACCACCATCAGCTGGTGCTCCACCACCGTCAGCTGTACTACTCGAAGATGTGGAGAGTGTGTTGTTGGTGTGGCTTAACGGGAAACAATTACCAAGAAACAATTAACCCCATATGGTTAGCCACCCAGGATAACTCAAGAAAGCCAGTGCATCATCGAGGACTGTCTAACTTATTTCCATTGAGCTCCTTAACCTTGTCCGCCAGGATGCGACCCACAAAAGTCGACTAACACCCAGGTGAACAGAAAAAAATGCCTGGAACTAGTGCTCATATTGGTGAATTTAAGGCCAGCAAAGGTTGGTTTGAGAGATTTAAGAATTGTAGTGGCATACATAATGTGATAAGGCATGGTGAAGCTGAAAAATTCCAACCCCAATAAGTGTTCAGTTGTGATGAAACAGGCCTGTTCTGGAAGAAAATGACAAACAGGACCTACATTACTCAGGAGAAAAAGGCACTCCCAGGACACAAGCCTATGAAAGACAGGCTAACTCTCATGTTATGTTGTAGTGCTAGTGAGGATTGCAAAGTGAATCCTTTACTCATGTATCATTCTGAAAATCCCAGAGTGTTCAAGAAAAACAGTCTCTCATCAGTCATCAATACTCTTCAATAAAGCTAAGTGTCATTTTAACATTTATTTATGTAGTTATTGTGCACGTCTCATTGCTTTCTTTGTAGGGAAATGTATATTTCGTGAAAAAAAAATAAATTTTAATACTTTTGGCTGTCTGGAACGGATTAATTGGATTTCCATTATTTCTCATGGGGAAAATTAATTCGGCTAATGATAATTTCGGCTAATGATGAGCTCTCAGGAACGGATTAATATCGTTAGGCGAGGGTCCACTGTACATGTATATTCATGTACACATAAGAAGAGGTATGAAAAGGCTCTTGGAAGAAGGAGAGCAAGAACCTAGTAGCAACCAGTGAAGAGGCAGGGCCAGAAGCTGTGACCTGACCCCTGCAACCACACACAGGTGAGTACACATATACAAATGGGTAATTACACACAGGGGCAGAGAGAAGACCCCTTTAACTAGAAATAGTAAAAACAGTGCTATCACATACACATCCTATACACGGTTCTTTCATCATTTGCCTATAAGTGAGACTAAACTGTTTAACACTTAATATTTCAAGCAGTACATAAAAGTACTGATTATGAATAAACTTTTATAAGTTGTATAAAAAATTAATTAGACAAATAAATTGAGCCTACCTTTGATGGGATCCAGCCAGAGAGAAAACATTAAATGCTGTGTTCCAACAGACATAATGTGGAGCTTGTTGAGGCTACTAAGTTCACTACTCACTGATGCATTCGATGTGGCACCACCTGAAATGCATTGTAACTTTAAATTTTTAAACCATGTCCCACATACCATGTTCTAAATATAGTTTTTTGTGAAATATAATGTGGCAATAAGTTCCCACCTTTTTTTTTTTAACAAGCTGGTCGTTTCCCTCCGAGGCAGGGTGACACAAAAAGAGAGAAAAAACTTTCATCATTCAACACTTTCACCATCACTCATACATAATCACTGTCTTTGCAGAGGCACTCACATACAACAGTTTAGAGGTCCCTCCAAACTGCCAATATCCCAAACCCCTCCTTTAACCCTTTCACCGTCGAGACCCCTGCTTGCAAACCTGCTTTCAGTGTCAAAGAATTGAAAAAAAAAAATCCTTATGAAATGATAATCTTTTCCTGATGGTAGTGACACCAAAAGTACAAAGTTTGATGGAAAACTTACGGACTTATGCTCTTGCGAAGTTAGCCGTCTCAGTGATATATACATATCAGCGATTTTGCCCACTTTGAACCCCTTTTCGGCCAATTCCATTGTTCCAGTTGACCAAACTCATAGCTTTTTGCTAGAACTCCATTTCTTCTATAGATTGAGTACAAGAAACTGCCCATTTACTGATTTCAGCTACCCAATAATGTGGTCAGAAATTGGCAATTTGGCCAATTTCACGCAAATTTCAAAAGATGCCAATTTCCAAACAGGGTCCAGAATAAACAATGCATACATTCTTGGCACTAAAATAACATTTTCTCTGTTCATTAGTCACATCTCCAGGCCCCTTTTATATTACTCTTGCTTTTCATTTTGAATTTTTATTCACACAAAAAATGGAAGATTTACTGTCAAGCAGACTATTGCATTATTGTAATAATTGTACAAATAATGTCAATCTATTCATGACTGCATATCAGACTGATCAGTTGGACACGTATTTGATGGTGACATCATTTGTTTACTCTTGAACATCGGCAAAAATCGAACATTTCCACTACTTTGAGCTAAATTTCAAGGTACTTTTCATTGTGCAACCAATCAAAATCATCTCTATTTCTGTAATAAGTCTTTCATTCAATCAAATGAGACCAAGAAAACAAGAATACAACCATAAAAAAAATACAAAAATATGTACACCTCAAATTCGGTGTTTTAAACCAAAAACATGGTTGGAGTTTTTTTTTTTCTCATTATGCACTGTGTACTGCAGGATTTTTTTTTATATTGCACACACTGATCCCGGAGACCTATTCTCTCACATGTAGGTCTACCAGCTTTCTCCAGCTAGATCTGAAGGTGCTAGAATTTTGGCATATTAATACGACACCGACACTGGCTTGTAAGCCATACCTATACTACGTCACTGACAGTGAAAGGGTTAAAGTGCAGGTGTTGTGCTTCCCACTTCCAGGACTCTAAGTCCAGCTAACTGGTTTCCCTGAATCCCTTCACAAAATATTACCCTGCTCACACTCCAACAGTTTGTTAGGTTCCAAAAACCATTTGTCTCCATTCGCTCCATTCCACTTATTTCCATCAAATGATGGTGTCAGCATAGTTGCTGATCCCCTTATGTGTGTTGTATAGCATATCATAGTACCATCCATGTGCTTTATATAGAAGGTCCCTTTTAGGCTGAGTGACTGTGACGTCACGGGATGCGCATGTGTACATTCGTACCTCTGCCTCTCTCTCAGTCGGCAGATAGACATCCAGGCATTGACACGGCAGGCTGGGCTTCGTCTCCCATCACAGTCTGACAATATATATCGTTACCATCCAACTAGTGTGTCTACCTTCAACCCTCAAATCTCCTTTTAAGAACCCCCACGACAATTGGTGGCAGTGCCAGTGTGGGTGTCCCCAGTGAGGCTTACACCGTTCATCCCATAGGCCCACTCACTCACCACGCGGCCTCAACCCTGCTCAGCCCACTCACCCAACCACTACCATTGTTGTTGTACACTTACTACGGGTTACAGCACCATATTTTAAGGACCACATAGGGGGTCAAGAGCTAGAGTGTGTTTGGCACCACCGTTGAAAGCCTCCTGTGTGAGTTCATCGTCGATTTAAACGCAACTCTCCGATCACGTGTGCAGAGGACAGCAGCCAGCCGCATGACATAAACATCCACCTCCATCCTCCAACCTTCCACCATCTACCTAATTCTTCACCAAGTTGTTACAGTGATAATATTTTTCATAGAGACATTTGCGAGTGTTGAGACATTTCTTTTGTGTTCCAGTGATTTTTCTTAGTGACATTCAGTGACTCTTGATTAGACTCAGTGCTTATTATATACTGTTTGCAATAATTTTTTTTATCTTCTTAATTCAGTGTTAATTTTCGTGCTATTAGCTTATGTCTGTTGTGTTGTGCTTCTTTTTTTTATACACTTGAAGTAAGTACCTTAGTGTTTTTCCTTGTTGTGTGCAACATATAAGCAGTATAAAACTTGTGTTACACTTCACAAGCACCATGTGTTCATAGTGTTGCAGTGAAGTAATTCAGTAATTTATTCCCTTGTATTCTGCATCACAACTCAGTGTTGTCTGTTATATTTTTATCCCAGCATTTGTGTATTCTTGTTTTGTTTTCTGTGTGTTGAAAACTTTTTGTGCTCATATTCTTTCATTTAGCCAGTGTCTAATTTGTCTTATTTCCACAGACAATAGTGCCATTATTTTGTGCAAGCAAGAAACTATTTTTCAAAGTTTTCACACATCAAGTTTCATAGCAAGAAAATTCTAGTAATGTGTTTATGTTGATGTGTTGTGTTCTGCATCACTGTAAGTGTTCAAACTTTTTTTGTTCCGTGTTTTAGCACCTATTATTTTTTCATATTTATTTATTTTATTATCATCACACTGGCCGATTCCCACCAAGGCAGGGTGGCCCGAAAAAGAAAAACTTTCACCATCATTCACTCCATCACTGTCTTGCCAGAAGGGTGCTTTACACTACAGTTTTTAAACTGCAACATTAACACCCCTCCTTCAGAGTGCAGGCACTGTACTTCCCATCTCCAGGACTCAAGTCCGGCCTGCCGGTTTCCCTGAACCCCTTCATAAATGTTACTTTGCTCACACTCCAACAGCATGTCAAGTATTAAAAACCATTCGTCTCCATTCACTCCTATCAAACACGCTCACGCATGCCTGCTGGAAGTCCAAGCCCCTTGCACACAAAACCTCCTTTACCCCTCCCTCCAACCTTTCCTAGGCCGACCCCTACCCCGCCTTCCTTCCACTACAGACTGATACATTCTTGAAGTCATTCTGTTTCGCTCCATTCTCTCTACATGTCCGAACCACCTCAACAACCCTTCCTCAGCCCTCTGGACAACAGTTTTGGTAATCCCGCACCTCCTCCTAACTTCCAAACTACGAATTCTCTGCATTATATTCACACCACACATTGCCCTCAGACATGACATCTCCACTGCCTCCAGCCTTCTCCTCGCTGCAACATTCATCACCCATGCTTCACACCCATATAAGAGTGTTGGTAAAACTATACTCTCATACATTCCCTTCTTTGCCTCCAAGGACAAAGTTCTTTGTCTCCACAGACTCCTAAGTGCACCACTCACCCTTTTCCCCTCATCAATTCTATGATTCACCTCATCTTTCATAGACCCATCTGCTGACACGTCCACTCCCAAATATCTGAATACATTCACCTCCTCCATACTCTCTCCCTCCAATCTGATATCCAATCTTTCATCACCTAATATTTTTGTTATCCTCATAACCTTACTCTTTCCTGTATTCACTTTTAATTTTCTTCTTTTGCACACCCTACCAAATTCATCCACCAATCTCTGCAACTTCTCTTCAGAATCTCCCAAGAGCACAGTGTCATCAGCAAAGAGCAACTGTGACAACTCCCACTTTATGTGTGATTCTTTATCTTTTAACTCCACGCCTCTTGTCAAGACCCTCGCATTTACTTCTCTTAATACCCCATCTATAAATATATTAAACAACCACGGTGACATCACACATCCTTGTCTAAGGCCTACTTTTACTGGGAAATAATTTCCCTCTTTCCTATGTACTCTAACTTGAGCCTCACTATCCTCGTAAAAACTCTTCACTGCTTTCAGTAACCTACCTCCTACACCATACACCTGCAACATCTGCCACATTGCCCCTATCCACCCTGTCATATGCCTTTTCCAAATCCATAAATGCCACAAAGACCTCTTTAGCCTTATCTAAATACTGTTCACTTATATGTTTCACTGTAAACACCTGGTCCACACACCCCCTACCTTTCCTAAAGCCTCCTTGTTCATCTGCTATCCTATTCTCCGTCTTACTTTTAATTTTTTCAATAATAACTCTACCATACACTTTACCAGGTATACTCAACAGACTTATCCCCCTATAATTTTTGCACTCTCTTTTGTCCCCTTTGCCTTTATACAAAGGAACTATGCATGCTCTCTGCCAATCCCTAGGTACCTTACCCTCTTCCATACATTTATTAAATAATTGCACCAACCACTCCAAAACTATATCCCCACCTGCTTTTAACATTTCTATCTTTATCCCATCAATCCCGGCGCCTTACCCCCTTTCATTTTACCTACTGCCTCACGAACTTCCCCCACACTCACAACTGGCTCTTCCTCACTTCTACAAGATGTTATTCCTCCTTGCCCTCTACACGAAATCACAGCTTCCCTATCTTCATCAACATTTAACAATTCCTCAAAATATTCCCTCCATCTTCCCAATACCTCTAACTCTACATTTAATAACTCTCCTCTCCTATTTTTAACTGACAAATCCACTCTTGAACAAATTCACTCTTAGTGCAATTTTTAAGTTCTTCTTTTAAAGTAAATTGTTCTTTTGCTTGTTAAGTGTTGCTTAAGTTGCAGTTAAGAGTTAAAGTGTTCACTCAGTTCATTCCTTGATAATAATATTTTCTTTTCTTGTAAACAGTGATTTCTTGTGTGTGTAATTTTTTTTATTGTTGCACATTGACTCATTTTGCAATAATTCTTGTGCAAACATTG